GGTATAGACCTGTGAGCTACTGCAGCAGTATAGACCTGTGAGCTACTGCAGCGGTATAGACCTGTGAGCTACTGCTTCCTGCAACAGCGTGGATTACTTTGTCATAGAAGATGCTCACTACAAGAAGCCAAATGCCTTGCAAACTGGAGGATTCCACCCTGACTACTATCCAATAAAGCAGGTGTCCTCCAACTACAGCCTGCAAGCCACATACAGCCCACCGAGGACATTTATCAGGCCCGCTGGGTGTTCTTGCCTAGCAGCCAATGCGTCCCTGGGTTCACAGTCTGGCCCTCCAATGGTCTGAGGGACAGTAAACTGGCCCCCTGTTTAAAAAGTTTGAGGACCCCTGCAATAAAGCAAAAACAAATCTCCAATTTCAGAAGTCAACCTGGTGATGGCTAACTTGTATGCTTTACATGTTTACATTAGGAGATGTTTATATTTTCATTTCATTACATTATATGATTACATTTTTAATGTTATTAGTCAAACGCTATACTTTGTTACTGTATTGATAGATAATTTTAATTTAAATTGATAAATTCAATTGATCAAATAATTTTATTAATATTTATTATAGAATTGTTAATTTTAATACCTATAACCTTAATTTAATATAGAATGAAAGAACTTTAACTTTAGTTAACGTTAGTACAGGAATAAAATACATTAATGTTAATGGTAATGTTAGTTGCAGAATGGGTTTTAGCAGCTTAAAAGAAAATACTGGAATAAGAACTACTCTGATACCAATGTTTTTTATGACACATGGATTATTAATACCCTGAGTGAAACAGAACTTCAGGAGAATGAGGAGAATTTTTTAAACTGAACTCTTATTGCCAAGACATGGAAACAACCCAAGTGCCCATCAATCCATAAATGGATTAAGAAATTGTGGAATATGTGCCCATGGAATACTAGACAGCCATAAAAAAGATAGAGACTTCACATCTTTTATGTTTACCTGGATGGATCTGGAACATAATCTTCGTAAAGTATCTCGAGAATGGAAGAAAAAGTATCCCATGTACTCAATACTATTATGAAACCAATATATAATTGCCACACAATAATCCTATGAATGGTAAAACACAACTATAGTCCAGAATGAAGGAGGGAAGAGGCAGGATAGGAGAAGGGAGAGGGGAGGCCGGGAAGAGGGTGGGTACCTCCCTCACCTACTAAGAGTATAAATGTCTTAACACAATAAATAAGTGAGGTGAAGGTTATGTGAACCAGTTTGATGTAAGCATTCCAAATTGCACATAAAATCAGTATATTGTACCCCATAAATGCATTAATGTACACAGTTACGATTTAATAAAAATAAAAAACTGAACTCTTGAAACAATCTGCTTTGCTTATGTTTTTAAAATACATAAGTGATAAAGATAAAAACCGTATGTTAATCCTAAAAATACTATTTCAGTTGGTGCAAAAATAAATAGTCTAAGACTAAAGAAAATGAACAAAAAAATTATTTTAAAGATAAATGTTCAAATGAAAGAATCTAGCCTAAGGATAAATGTTGATTACGGCCTTAATTAGAAATGGAAGTTTCAAAGGAAGCTAAACATTGCATGATACTCAAAAAATGACACGTACTATGACCTGAGGGTTTGCCCATACAAGGCAGAAATGGGAAAATGTTATAAAAAATTCATGACAACATAGCAGCTCTTATAATATTATACAGAAATATGTCTGTATGTTTTACACACACACAGGGGCACCACAACAACTTCTAAGAAGACATTCACCAAAATGCCATTTCCAGGATATAATATTGAGATGATAGATGACTTTGTATTTCCCAGATTATTTGTATTATAAATATATTTTAGCAGCAAACACCATAGAATAAAAATTGGATGCAAGGGCAGCATTCTGGGAAAGAAATAAATATGGGTCAATATTCCTAAAAAGAAAAAGTTTAAGCGACAGTTTTTTGCTGATTTCAAGACTGTGGGCACCAATATGGACCCAGTCAGACTTTAACATAACAAGGCATTTAAAAACAAAAAAGAAAAAAAATAGTTTTTAGGTCTTTGCTCAGTGCCCATTGACATTAGTATTAATACTGTGGCTTTGAACACGACTTTTTCAAAAGTATCTTTACATCACTGTGTGTTTATGGCAAATGCTAAAAAAGCCAGAACTGCGTGCCTACCTTCCGTCTTCTTCCAGTAAATCTTCACTTGTAGACGGTTGTCTTCAAAGAATGGGGCTCCGACTTCCAGCGGGCGAGTGGGCCGTCGTCTTTGAAAAGGGGGCTGCATTGGAATCCCGCCTTTTCTGGTTTTCCCAAGCTGTTCTTCTACAACAAAGGACCACATTGTAATGCGCTTGTCACACATCCCCCTGTAGCCTGATGTCAAGCCCAGAGTACTTTAATTCCTCACCCTGTTAGTTATTTACATTAGGGCCTGTGTTTTAAGGTAAATGGTGATGTGACGGCAGATTCTTTCATGCTCAAGTTAATGGTCGTCCCTTCAAAATGAGTTGGAATATTAAAAATATATTTTATGTAATCCCTAGAATTTAAGTTGGTAATCACCACGTATTCACAGGCTTGAAAGTCTATGTGAATAAGTACACCTGTTTCTTAAGGTGCTGCAACTTATGTGATAAGTATACACAATTTCTCATTATAGACATTTTTTTTATAGTTACAAATGAAGCAAAATGATACTAAAATAACATTGCATGAAAACAATAGCTGGCTTTTCACAGAAGCGTAGCTAGTACACCATCAGCCCTTAAAGCAACCGTAACAGAAATACGGTTCAAGTATTTCAAGTATTTCATCACTTGTAAAGAGCTCACATAGCCCTGACCCAGAGTATAACGCCGACCGGTCTCAGTACTGAACAGCCTTCCTCGTGTGGTTCAGAATAGCAACAGACATTCAAACTCTGGCAAATATTAAAGTGAAATGTCAAAATACCCAGCAAAGGACATGAAATGGAATGGGAACAGTGTGCTGGACTGGGCGACCGAATATAAGACACATTCATTTATTAGTTCTTTCTGGAAGTTCTTTCTTGAGTGCTGCCCAAGAGCCCAGAGCCACAGCTACTAGCTGGAGGTAGAAGGCCTGGGTAGGCAGGGGCTGTGGAAACAGCAGAGGGCAACCTCTCCATAATCACAGCTTGTGAGAGGCCCCCACGGAAGGGGCCTGCCAAGTGCAAGTGTGTAAGTCTGACACGCCACCGTGTCTGTTTTTTGAAAAAGTGGCCAAAACCTTTCTGATGAAATGAGGCATAGAAGCATGGTTATCGCACTGTGAGATGATATTTTGTGAACAAACCAGGACACTCTAGGGAAGAGATTACAACATGTTCACATGTTCATTATTGGGGTTTTTGTTTTAATAGAAACTTTTCTTTCCTACTGTCCATTTAAAGGATTTATTTGACACATACTCATTGCAAAATGGGACTTTCTAATAGTAAATAAGAAGGATCCAAATTCCCCACACCAGATGGGAGGCAGACAGAACCACTGTAAACCAGCACCATGGGGGTGGCGCCTGTGGCTCAAAGGAGTAGGGCGCCGGCCCCATATGCCAGAGGCAGCAGGTTCAAACCCAGCCCTGGCCAAAAACTGCAAAACAAACAAACAAAAAACAAAACAAAACACCAGCACCATGAAATAGTTCTTTGAATCAGACAATTCAAACTGTATTCTTAGGCCAGGTTATTTCTTGCTGGGTCGCTGTTTAAGGTTGTGACCTGGCTCCAGATTGGGTTTGCTTTTTAATGTTCTGTTTCTGTTCAGCTGTGATCTTTCTCTCTTATGCCATTCCGGATCCCAAAACTCCAGTGGGCTCCTCGGCCCTGCACTTCCTTTTTATTTCTTTCTTTAATGTCATGTATTTTATAGTCAATTTATTTACTAGTTTAACATCCAGTGCACACTTATTTTTTTCTGCCAGATATTTGGAGCAGGTCACAATACCTCACTCTTGCCCCAGGGACCCACCGAAAGTAAAAGTTGGATTTTACGCCTCGTTCAACCCCTGTCAATTAAGCAATAGAGTAATAATCTGTTATTTGACTATCTTGGTGTGGGTTACAGCTAAAGCAAAGCTTATGCTATTTTGATTCCTATTCTTTATCTGAGTCAGCTAACTACATCTTTCACTCCATTTTGAAATAAATGTAATATATTCAGAATTTTATAAATAAAAGTCATGAATAGAGAATTAATGTTGGATGAGAAGAGTAGGAAGTCTTCCAGGGGACTAGACAGACGGACCCAACACTGAGAATCTGCATTCACCATTATCTACTAATTTACTTTCTCTTTTGATCTTCACAACCATCATTCTCTAGTCAATATTAGCATCACTTTATAGATTAGGAAAATGAAGTTCTGACCTTTGCTCTCTTCTCCATGTTCAAGGTGCTCTAACCACTCTAACTTACAGGAAGGCTCCATGTTCGAGGTGCTCTAACCACTCTAACTTACAGGAAGGCT